AACTGGAGAGGAAGAAGAACTAGGGACACTTGATGTTTCTGAAACCAAGAAAGGAAGGAGCATCTACCAGAAGAGGCAGTTAACATATTTCTCTAGAACGTTTATTGCAGAGAAGTCAAAAAGGAGGAAGATCGAAAAGGGCTGCTGAATTAATCAATCAGTAGATTACTGGTGATATAAAGGGATCAAGATGCAGAGCTAGAAGGAATTTTAGAGGTCATCAGTCCAATCCTCTCACTTTAGAGATAAGGAGCCAAAACCTCAGAGAAGGTAAGTGATCTGCCCCAAGTTGCACAGCTAGTAAGTGACAGAGCTGGGATTTGGACTCTGGCTCTAAATCCAGTGCTCTTTTCACTGTACTATGCAGTCAGACCCATGAATCTTAGGACTGCCCATTCATCCAATCAACAAATGTTTACTAAGAGCTTTCTAGGTACAGAGCAGTGAACTAGGCTGCCATTATCCTGTACAACATTTAGAAGTCCCTCCTTCTAGACAAAACATTTCACAGAGACAAGGCCTGAAATCCCCAAGCCTATGCCTTCTTTCAGGAGAGAGCCCAAAGAGCTCTGGCACGTGTATCCCAGTTGTGATAAGATCCATTCATCCAACAATTTCAACAGACATTTTTGTTCCAACCATTAAAACACCACATGCTTGCTGGACTTGTTGGGGGGACTCAGCTGCGCTCCCTAGCCCACTCCACCCCACACAAGGGTGGCCAGGGAAGGAACAGCAAAGGAATCACCAGGGGCAAGGCTCTTGCTGCTCACTGTCCATTCCATTCCCTTCCCTTCCACAAACGCCAGGCGCATATACATGTAAAGCATAATGCCAGGCTCGAGGGACATGAAGGAAAAAATGACAGTACTGAAGGACAGTACCTTCCTGAAGGAGTTTACATCCTACTGGGTGTATGAAGAAGTCTTTAAAGAAGACCCCCTGGCATACTTATCTAGTGGGTATTTGAAATACTCCCCAACCTCCTCAAAGATCCCTAACCCACTCCTCCAAACACAGTATTGCTTTTGAGAAAATTTGCTGTAAAGTGAATGGGACCAACACAGTCAATGAGGTTTACTATGTTGGGCTCATTCACTTCATAGCAAATTTATACGTAAAATTATGGGACTGTCCCACTGCCTAGAACCCAAAGGCTCCAATATTCATCAAATTAATGGCCATCAATGGATAACCATTAAGGAAGAAAACTTTCAGGAAATGAAAGGTTTTAGACTGATCACCAGCACACTGTTCTGGAAAACATTTTTGATCTAGACAGACAAGAAGGTAAGAGTCATTACTACTCCAAGAAAACAGTTTCAGGAGGCAGGTTGGGGCAGAAGTACAGTTGGTAATAGTAAAAGCACTGGCTCCAGGCTTTTTTGAGAAGCTTGGCAATTCAAAACAAAGAGAGGTTGGATAGAGGGATCAGAGAAAAGGTTTTTTCTTTATGGTCAGGATTCCTGACCATATTTAAAGGCAAATGGAAATGTATAAATGGCAAGGGAGAGACTCAAGACACACGACAAAAAGAACGATTCTTGGACCAGAGGCCTGGACATGAGATGGGATGGGAGTATAGGCACAGATTGGACATCAGTCTTAGCAAAGAGCAGTACTCTCTCTTCTGTAACTGGAGGAAAAGGAGAGAGGGTGATGATGCTGAAAAATTATGATGACTAGAAGAAGGGAGCAGAGGGAGTTTATGTCTGATAGCCTTAATTTTCTCAGTAAAGTAGGAGGCCAGATCATCTGCTGGAAGTGTGGGAGTAGGCAGTTACTGTAAAGAATGAGGGAGTCTTTCTGTACTACCTTTATTGTCAAACAGTGGGGTGCAGCTAAAGTTATCCACTATGTCTCTGGTTATGTGCTAGATGAAAGGCCCAGACAAGGAAGGCTATGGGAATTAATAGGAGGGGAATAATAATAACAACAATAATAACAATAGCAAAGCATTTAGCTAGCCTTAAAAGTGTTATATGTCAGTTATCATCATCTCATTTGAGATGAACAAAAACCCTATGAGGAAGATACTATGTATTATTACCCTCACTTTATAGATAAAGAAACTGAGGCTCAGAGAAATTAAGTGACTTGCCTAATGTCACACTGTGAATAGCCTTAAGCCCTGAATCCAAGTCCAATTCTCTGTCCACTATAGGGAGTTGTCTCACTAAAAGGGAAAGGAAGGAAACAAGCATTTATTACGTGCCTACTATGTGTTGGGCACTATGCTAAGCACTTTAGAGATATTATCTCATTGTGGTCACTGTGGCTTCTTGCAAGAACTTAGACTTGAAGGATGTGTGGAATGTAGACAGCAGTGGAGGCGGAGTGTGGGAGGCTGCATTTAAAGCAGGGGGACAATGCATGTTCCAGAGATGAAAACGAACACATTATACGTACATTTCATTTCAGTTAGTGAAGAGGGAAGTTTGAAAGGAATATGAGATAACACTGAACAGCAAGAATCATGGAACAAATAATACAAGCACCGAACGAAAAGATTATCTAGTCCAACCTACTTATTTTAGAGGTGAGGAAACTGAAGACCCAAAATTTGACTAAAATTATACTTCCAGTTAGTGGCAAATCCAGAGTCCAGATCTCCTGACCCCAAGTCCATGGCTTTTCCTCTTATAAAACATAGGGAGGCAAAATGGTACAGCGGAAGGAGCAAGAGCCCAAGAGTGAGAAGACCTGGGTTCAAATGTTACTCCTGAAGTTGATTACTTGTTTGACTGTGGGCAAGGCACTGAGGGAGTTACATGGTCTAGTGGAGTGAGTGTGGTATCAGAGTCGAGAAGGCTGGAGTTTGCTTCAGCCGTATACCAGCTGTGTGAACCCTGGGCAAATCACTTAACTCCTCAGTCTTGGTGTCATCATTTGTAAAACAGAAATAACAGCAGCACCCTCCTCACAGGGTTCTTGTGAAAATCAAACAAGATGATATGTGTAAAAAGCACTCGCACACTCTTCAGAACTATTACTGTTACTCTTAGCTGTTTGTAGGACCATTATATATTATTGATTTCCCTGGGCCTCGGTTTCCTCCCCTCTGAAGTGAAGCAGCTCAAGTGGGTGTCCTTTCCAGTTCTATCTCTATGATCAAGCTGGGACTGGAGAGACCTGACTGCTAGGCTGAAGAGCTTGAACTTTATTTGGGAGCTCAGAGGGTTCTGAGCAGAGCAATGAATACATTATAAATTCCACAAAGGTCAGTACCGGGTCCCATTTAATTTTTGTATGGCAAACAGTGCCAAGCATGGTGTTCTGTACACAAAACAGTAGAGGCATGATGTTTGTTGAACTGAATTGTCTAATGACATCTCTTCCTCTATAAAGTTTCCCTTCATCTTCCCATTTTTAATTCTCTTTCTGTCTGCCAATTACCTTGTATTTACTTATCTGTGTACATGTTGGATGCACCCATTAGAATGTAGGATCTTTGAAGGTAGGGCTTGTCCATTTTTTCTTTGTATCCCTTCCCTTCCTTTGTCTGAATGTATCTCCCCTGTAACACACTGCCTAGTACACATGGGTGCTAGGCTTTAATAAATGTTTGCTGAATTACTTAATGAGTGCAGGTGTATGAAGATTAAGGTAGCTCCATTCTTATCTTGACCCTGTGGCTAAAATGAAGAGACACATACGGGCTATGATTCCTCAAACTTGCAAGAATCTTAGTGTCAGTCCTTTAGATTGAGAATTGGGGGAGGAAAGAGACAAGGGAAAGAAGGGGAAACAGAATGGTTTGCCTCATCCCACCATTCCTGACCACCACTGTCTCCTCCCCTACCCAATCTATCCAGTTTTAGGGAAATGGATTAAATGGAATGGAAAGAATGGGAAAGAGAAGAAAGGAAGAAGAGCGAAATTCGGAACTTGTCAGGAGTGAGGTAATACAACTACAGGAGCCACAAGGAACAGAGAGGTGCTGCTGCTTGTCATGCCCTAATCCGCAGTGCTCCTGCCTCAGATACTGAAGTCCTTCACATAAAGGACTAGTCAGGAGACTAGGGTTGTAGTCCTGGCATGGTCCCTGACTGGCAGGGTGACTCTGGGAAAGTCACAGGCCCTCCCTGGGCTTCAGCTGCCTCGTCTGTAAAATGATGTTGGACCAGACAGCGGTTAAGATTCTATGACAGGCAGCAAGCAATATTGTTTGTTTGTCCTTTGTTTTCCAAGAGGACCACAACATCAGGAAGGTGATGCCATGACTTGCAAGTGAATTGGATTTCAGTGAGGCAGGGCTGTGTAAGGTCACCAGCCTTACTTTCTCCTCTGGGGCCATCTGGGTCCAGTGGCCAGAAACAGATTAGGACGACTGGAGATGGCCGGCCCCACTGAGTACAATAAGAATCCAGAGGGCAAAGAAATGACATGCCCCAAATGACCCAAATCCACTTTCTTCTCTGGGCCTTGGTTTCCATATTTGCACCCTATGTTAATGTGAACTAATGAAGGGGGACTGGACCTTCTAGGGTCCCCTCCAACTCTGGATCTTATGAAATACAACATATCAAGTGTTTTCTGTCATCCTCTCATCTGTTAACACCAAGACCACACAGGGCTCCTAGATATAACATGGTAGACAGTGTTGGTGGCTTTCACAGGCTAGAAGGAAGGGCTCAGATGCCTACTGGCAGCTAGTCAATAGGATGCCTGAAGTGTGGACATAGTGACCACCAATACATCCTTACTGTCAACTAAAGTCTGACTTCCAGGGGAGGGTGTGTATCTCTCTGAACAGGACTGGAAGCACTGAGGGAGTGCTGTGGACCACATATAGTGTCTTTGAAAGGGCCATGAAATGGCTCTCCAGCTAAGAGCTGGCCACCCTATTGCAAGAAATCCCCTTCTCTTTTCCCTGTCTTCCTTTTTAAAGTCCCTATAATTCCCAAGAGTAAAAAAAGGAGGTAGGGAAGAAGGGTGTGGGTACTGGTGCAAGACCGAAAGGGGCCGAGTGAGGCGAAGGACTTTTGGCTGGTACTCACTGATAGCCCCAGTGTACGTTGGCTGCGTGAGGTCCTTTGGAACCTTCCGGTAGATGTCAAATCTGAAAGGAGGAAAAGCAGCAGGGGTGAGCCATGCAGGACATTTCAATGTATCACTGCCCCATGGGGCTGAATGGGGCTGGTCATTTCCCCCCCTTAGGATTCCAGTCCAAACATGATCCTTTCTGCGGTGAGGCACAGGGGGTTGGCAGGGAAGGACAACAATCGTCCTTTCTGAATGTTTATATAATTAGATGACACTTCCTCTTCGGTTTCATCTTTCCACCATCTTCATCATCTTTCCTTTCTCTCTTCCTGCCCAGGCTCAGCTCAGGTCTGGGTCAATGATAAAAATATATTTGGCAAATTCCATATTTCAGAATCAACCTAACTCTTCTGACTGCTGAGTGAAATTATTTCTCCCCCTTAGGATTTTTTTTTGAGAGGGAGATGGAGCAGGAGGTAGGAATGAGATGGATGAAAGCAGAGAAGATTCCAGGGCTCCTTTTCATCAAAACCTGAGGGGAGGTTTTCACAGTACAAACCTCAGTTTTATGAAGTATTAGCAAAAGCACCCAGGAAATCTGGTATATGTGTATGTATTATAATTTTTAAAATACATATAATCTAAATCTATCTGTCTATAATATACATAGGCCAAATTCCTTTATTAATTACCAGGTTAATAAGAATAACATCAGCTAATATTTATATAGCACTTACTATGTGCCAGGCATTGTGCTAAGTAAGCACTTTATATTATTTCATTTGCTCCTCACAATAACCCTGGTAAGTAGGTGCTATTATAATCATCCCCATTTTACAGATGAGGAAACTGAGGCAAAGAGAGGATAAGTGACTTGCCCAGGGTTATACAAATAATAATAGTAAGTGCCTGAGGCCAGATTTTAACATAAGTCTTTTTGACTCCAGGTCTAGTGTTCTATCCACTGTGCCATCTGTGTGCCTGTCTCTAATATAAAAGGCTGGTATTTCTATCCTTTTTTTTTTTAAATCATGAAATCTGCTAATAATACCTCTCATATTGCTAAATATCACTGGTACCCATCCTTGTCTTTCCACCCACATGGCTGGCCATTACCCTAATTTAGGCCCTCACCAACATCTTTCACCTGGAATATTGAAATAACCTTCTAAATAATTCTTCTGCCTCCAGCCTCTCCTCTCTTCAATCTGTCCTTCATACAACTAACTGCCCTAGTAATCTTCCTATATACACTTCTAACTATGTCACTCCTCTGCTCAAAAGTCTTTAGAATCTCCCTCGGCCATCCTTATCACATACAGCAGTGGGTTTGGGGGAGGAGGGGAGGGAGGAAGGGCACTGAATTAGTGGAAGAGGTTCGTGCATTCATATGTGAATCCATAAATAAACATTCTATAGACTCAATGTCTTGCACATTTATGTATAAATTTTTCATATGGATTTAGCTCCTGTTCTGATTAATAAAATATATATTCATTTTTAAAAATCACTGAATTAATAAGAGCTTTGTATTATTCATTATATGTTTTCTCAACCAAAAGATATTAAAAGTGCAATTACTATCATATGGGGGAGTTGGGAAATAATCTGACATTAAAATTGGGTCCTTGATGATGAAGCATGCTACCAATTTTCTGACAGAAACATGATAGAGAGATGAAGAATGAGACATACATTTTTTGGACATGACCAACATGGGAAGTTAATTTGCTTAACCATCCACATCTGTCACAAGGTTTGTCTCTATTTTCAGCTGGAGGTGGGCAGGAGATGGTGATTAGGAGTAGGGTCCTTGTCTACCATCCCCACCACCCACACCCTCCCTAATGAAAAGAATAGAAGGAATGTTGGAAGGAATCACAATCAGGGCAGCTTGAAAGTGACATGTTGAATTTATTATCTTTTAAAAGAAAATACTATACAACAGATCTGCAGTTTTATGTACACTTCTCTCCTGTTCCAACGTACGTGGAGACATTACTTTCATTAGGGGTTTGTTAAGTTCAGATTTTTAAAAAACCCACAAAATAAGATGGAAAAGGGGGCTCTCCTAGCCTAGGCAAGTCCACTCTCAGTAATCTAGGCAACACTTTAAGGCTATTGGCTGCAGAGAAGGTGCTTCCTTGACTAGTCAGGGGAAGTTCCTCACTGAGGCATTCTCAGTACCACTGAAGTCACAGGTCTTATCTCTATCCTATGATATTTTTTAAAAGGCTTGGAATAGCTGAGCTAAAGGTAAAATACGAACTCCTAAGTCTCACGCTGAAGATCTTCTACAAGCTGGCTTCTAACCAGATCTGTGATCTCATTAGGGTGAACAACTCCTGGGGATTGTTCTGTAATACAGAAGTCATGGTGAGTTGCCTGTGGGCACTGAAAGAAGCAACCTGCCCAGAGTCTGTCAATATGTGTCAAAGATAGGACTTGAACCCAGTTCTCTCCATTTGACCACACTGCCTGTGGTGCCGATCCAGAACTTCCCACTTTTTGCCCTTCAGTCTGGCAGGAGAGAAAATAACATACCAGGCTGGTTTGTGAGTGGTGGTGGCACAGGGCATGGAAGAGAGCCAGTTGTATAGAACCTGGATAGAACCAGCTGGAAGAGAACCTATGGATAAGCTATTTTTGTTCTTCAGGAGAAGGCTGTTGACTATAGTGGAAAGATTTATTTTAGGAACTTGAGTGGGCAGGTCCTCCAAAGAAGGGAGAAGGGAATAGCTATACTTCAATTCAACAAGTATTTATTAAGTACCTAAGTATTAACTACAATAAATACAGATATCGTTGGTCAGTTAATAAACATTATTTTATTAATATTTTAAGGTATTAAGGTATTAAGCACCTACTCTGTGCCAAGGCATCGTGCTAAGTGCTAGGGATATGAAACACGGCAAAAGACAGTCCTTGCTCTCAAGATGTTTGAAGTCTAAAGCAGAGATGATATGAAACCAATTAGGTACAAATAAGACTGTATAATGATGGGTAAACAGGAGATAATTAACAGAGGGGAGGCACAAGAATTAAGGGGGACAGGTAACGGCTTCCTCAGGAAGGCAGGATTTACCTGGGGCTTGAAGGAAGCCAAGGAAGCCAGGAGTGAAGATGTGGAGGGAGAAAACGTTGGGAGATGGAGCGTCCTATTCAAGGAACTGCAAGGAGCCAATGTCATCGGATCAAAGAATACTTGAGGAAGGAGGGGAGAAGAGACTATGGCAACTGAGGAGGGGTGTAGATGGACAGGAGATCATGAAGGGCTTTTAATGCCAAACTGAGAAGTTTTTATTTGATCTTGCAGGTGATAGGGAGCCACACCGGTGTTTAATGAGTACTCGGGTGACATGGTCAGACTGGTGATTTACAAAGATCTTCCCTTGGGAATAAGAAGAGACTTGTGGCAGGACAACCCACCAGCAGACTACTGTGATAATTCAGGCATGATGCGATAAGGGCCTGTACCAGGTTGGTAGAAGAGTAAGAGTAGAGAATAGGTCATATGCAAGGGGTGTTATGAAAATAGAATTGATAGGCAGGTCTTGGCAACAGATTGGATATGGAGGTGAGAATGAGGAGCTGAGGATAACATCTAGATTTCTTTTCTTTCTTTTTTTTTTTTTTATTGTGAGGCAGTTGGGGTTAAGTGACTTCCCCAGAGTCACACAACTAGTAAGTGTCAAGTGTTTGAGGCCGAATTTGAACTCAGGTCTTCCTGATGCCAGAACCGGTGCTCTATCCACTGCGCCACCTAGCTGCCCTGACATGTAGATTTCAAACCTAGGTGACTGGGAAGATGGCAGTACCCTCAAAAGTAATAGAAAAGTCAGCAGGAGGGGAGGATTTAAGAAGAAAGATAATGGGTTTAGTTTTGGAAATGTTGAGTTTAAGATGTCTGTGAGTCATCCATTTTGAGATGTTTAATAGGCATTTGGAGATGTAAGACTGGAGGTCAGCAGAGTGGTTAGAGATGTATATGGATTTTTGAGAATTATTAGCATAGAGATGACAACTGAATCCATGGCAGTTGATGAGATCACCAAGTGAAATAGCATAGAAGGAGAGCAGAAAAGGGCCCAGGATTAAGCACTACGGGACAACGCACAGTTAGCAGGCATAATCTGGATGGAGATCCATCAAAGGACAGTGAGGAAGGTCAGATAGGTAGGAAGAGAACTAAGAGAGAATAGTGACATGAAAACCTAGAGATGAGAGAGTCTCAAGAAGAGAGTGTTCGTTGGTGTTAAAGGCTGCAGAGAGGTCAAGAAGGATCAGAGTTGAGAAAAGGTCATTGGCTTTGGCAAACAAGAAATCTCTAGAACAAAGTCTTCACCCTCAATAATCGGATATTCCACTTTAAAGTCTCTAACAATAGAAAATCAATGATTATAGAATGACATTATAATACCCTGGAAAGATGAAGGTGGAGAATCTATAAGCGATTGTCTATGAGAATATATTTGTTGTTCACTCATCTCAGTTGTGTCCAACTCTTTGTGGCTCCATTTGTGATTTCCTTGGAAAAGGTACTGGAGTGGTTTGCCATTTCCTTCTCCAGCTCATTTTGCAGATGAGGAAACTGAGGCAAATGGAGTTAAGTGACTTACCTAGGATCACACAGCTAGTAAGTGTCTGAGGTCAGATTTGAACTCAGGAAGATGAATTTTCTGGGCACTCTGTCCATTGAGCCACTTAGCTGCCTTTATAAGAATCGATGGATATTAGGAAATAGTCAATATGGCTCTGTGACCAGATCACCTGGACTACGGACTATTTATGAGTGAAGAACAGGGAAGGAGGACAGACAGATGATGAGGAGGTAATACAAAAAGGTAGCATGCCAATGGAAAGAACCACATCAGACTTGAAATCTAAGGGCATGCTTTCAAATCCTGGCTCTGTTACTTGCTACCATTGGGAAAATCTCTTTGAGCAAATCACTTTTCTTCTATGTGACTCAGTGTCTTCATCTGGAAAATCAGGGGTTTGGACTAAATGATTTCCTAGTTCTAAGGTTCTATGGGTCCAAAGAATGTAGTTTGATTACCTTGGGACTCTAAATTC